TACCGGACAGAATTCAATTGTGGTCAAACCAGTTCCGTTAGTGAAACCAGCAAGCAGGCTCGAACGTGATTGTACGAACAGGGGCGGATATGAGACGGAACGATAAACTCTCACCAGTAGCTCCTTGGGCTTCACCGCCAGGGCACGACTTTGAATTTAACAAGGCGGAAATATTGGGCCAGTTTGACGGCCGGGTTTCACGCCTGCTGCGAGAAGCATAGCACCTGACTGCGGACTCGAATGATAAACGTATCGATCTGCCATCAGCTTATCAAGCAATTCGTAGACAAGTCAGTACCGCAACTGAAGGTCATTCTCAGCAGAGGTAAGTTAACTATTCGATAGGCTTTACAGTCTTTCATTCCTTGACTGCGGGCCTCGCGTGAGGGTTTGAAACTTCAGATAACTTAACAGCAGCTTCCACCCATGCGAAACTTCTTTGCTTCGGGAAGCCAATGGATCAGTGGGCACCCATTCCTGAGAGCATGAATGTCCGATCTGCAACGGCAGATAATGGTAGGTGGTGGGGCACTGATGAACTTCGGGTCAATGAGGTAATTATGAACCATGTGGTACACCCCAGTGGCGAACCAGCAATGCCAGGTGCGTGTGCGTATGTTTGTGTTCCCTGTCCCAGCTGATGTTTAGAGTTATAATTGGCTGAATGGAAGCATACAAGCCCGAATCAGTGCTGTGTAAATCTACACCAAAGACCCTGTCGTTCCCTTCTGATTTATATATATATATATAGGCAGAATGGTATAACCGACAAAGACAAGCGAGACTGGAATGGCCATTTCTGGCTTATTAACCGTCGTCAGCCAGCCATACCCAAGCCCGAAGTGTGGAACACCCGAGCCTCGAACTCGCGACCTGTTGGTTTAGAAGTGAACGCCTCTACCCACCGGGCCACGAGCCCGTTGCCCTGTCGGTTTTTGATCGGGAATATACAATGGTAGGGGGCGCTCACCGATCGTTCGTAGGTAACTCATTCGTTCCGTTGTGCATTAAGGGCTCTCTCTCGAGCCCAACCAGCAGCCGCACAGCGGCGCATGATATATAGGCAGAATGGTATTACCGACAAAGATAAGGGAGACTGGAATGGCCATTTCTGACTTATTAGTCGTCGTCAGCCAGTCATACCCAACCCCAAGTGTGGATCACTTGAGATTCGAACCCGGGATCTTTGGTCATGGAGTTTGACGCTCTACCATTGAGCCACGGGCCCGCTGTCCTGTCGGACGTGATCGGGAATATTAATTATGATAGTGGGCGCTCACCGATCAGGTTACGGAACATGCTCCTTCCGTTGTGCCATGGGGCTAATACTAGAACCCTCGCAGGCAGTCGCACAGCGAATAGTAGTAGACATAGATGAGATGGTACCAACAAAGACAAGGGATACCATTTTTAACGTCTTCCATCCCTGTAAGTTGTGACACTTCTACATAAGGGTGCTTATTTATCCCATGGTGCTACCGAATTCCACTGTAGCTCGCGATGTTTTTGGGAAGAAACAGCCGGGATTTGCCTGGGTCGTCCTCACGAACGCTCCTGAGGGCAGTCAATACCTCTCAGGTAGACTACCTCAACGGTTATTTACTTGCCATGCGGATGTCGACTGCCCTTCACAACAGCGTGCACGTTTCACGTGCAACTTGCGATGATTGTCCCAGAGTTAACGTTCATGCGTCCGCGTACGAAGCGCTCGGCCGACCCAGCAGCGGCCCTTTCAGACCCCTGTCTACGATCTTAGAGACAGTCAATAAGACTGCCCCAGGCGCGTCTATTCTGCGGATGATAATGAGGTCAGTTTACCAAACGTTCGACAGAAGGGCTACGGCTGCTGACTTAGTCCGAGGAGAAGGCTTTAAAGTAGGCGGCATGCAACTTCTGATCGAGCTGACCCCGCTCTAATGTGAGGAGGGAAATATGGCCACTGCACTTCTTCAAGGACACAACCATCGTCCACTCTACAAACGAAACGAAGACTGTCCGGCCTAGCATTACCGAAAAAGACGAAGACGACTGGAATGGCCATTTCTGGCTTATTAGCCGTCGTCAATCAGCCATACCCAACTCCGAAGCGTGGAACAATCGGGGCTCGATGCTCCGACATGTTGATTAAAAATCCAACGCCTCTAACCACTTGGTCACGGGTTCGTTGTCTTGTCGGTTGCGATCGGGCATGTAAAATGGTACCACTACCTCTACTACTGTCTGGTATGTGGTATCTCCCTCACGGCTTTGGACAAGCTTTTTGCCCTCGTGCTTCTGAAGCCCCACATAAATAGCTTGAGCAGTGATTCTTCCCCGAAATACGGCAGAAATATCAGAGGGGTGATAGAAACGAACAGGCGAGTTTCAGAAAGCAGTGCAGAAGACGAAAATGCGATCACTGGAACAAGAAATTTATTGGCCTGACGTTTCGGATTCTCACTCAAACCCATCATCAGAGAAAGTCGAAGATAAGGGTAGTGGTGGCGCAAGGAGTGCAGTATTTATAGCACGTGGCTGCCGTGGGACCATATGTGCACTGTAAGTAACAGCTCTCATGATCACCTCTGGGGTCGTGATTGATGCGCTAATGGCTTGTCAGTCAGCGTCCGAGTCGTTAATGACTGTGATTTCGTCATCCGTGTTGGATGCTGGTGTGAAAATTACCCGGCCAATTGGTTTACTGTCACTGGGATAATTGCTCGCCCGCGCCCTCCTCACGTGACTGATTTGCCTGCTCAGGGAAAATCTCAGCACAGAATACGGTACCGAGCGGTCATTGCGCTTGTTGATGGACTGCGGGTCTGAGAATCATGACCCGAGCAGCTCGCGGTTCATGCGCTTGTCACCCCTTGCGAGGATTTCGGCCTCTCGACACTTAAGAATATGGCCGGGTCCCGTTGAACGAGCCGCCATCTGAGAGTTAACGTCTCCCCGCCTCACTGCTGCTGCGTGCTCGGCAACTCGCGTACGGAGTAATCTCCCAGTTTCTCCGACGTAGTTGCTTTGTCTGCATTCGCACCAGATCCGGTAAACGACTCCAAACTTTTCCTGCCATGACAGCGGGTCCTTCGGCCTCATGACTTGGCGCCTAGTGGTTGCCTCCGGCCTGTCTGCAACCGCAAATACAAGTGGAGTGAGAAGACGACTGACGGCTTCCGGGACAAAAGTCCCAAAAACTAAAGTGTTGAAAAAACTGGCTTGCTCAGCACCTCTAGCATTCTGAAGTTAGTTCAGCTGAGACTGGACAGGCACGTTGTAATGGTGGATGAAGAGCTCTTACTAGGAGATGAGTCAATGGTGGCTGTTAGAGTGAGACCGCTGATTAAGGCCAAATGTAGGAGGCCAGTACCAGCTACACCTTCATTTCGATCAGTTGCCACAGGGCAAAGACACGAGACGTAGGAGTCGCCTTTGCAACCCGGAACGAAATCCTTGGACGACAGTCATGTTTACCGCAATGCATCAACGACCGACCGATGACTTTGTGTCTGCCCTTTTTTGAGAAACCAAATTTTCCAACAGCGCCAGTGTTTACGCCCCCCAATGACCAACTCCGGCAAAGAAGAGTACAGCTTCTACGACGGCATGCGAGCACTCATGACGACTGTGCCAAAGGCGAATGAGTAGATTGTCCTTGGGGACTTCAAAGTCCGTATCGACACAGACCATACTGCCTGGAGAGGAGTGCTGGGTCCCCATAGTCTCAGCGGTTTTAATGACAATAGCCTGCTCCTCCTGCGAACCTACGCAGAACACCGCTTCATCCTAACCAACACCTTTTTCCGCCTTCCGACGCGGGAGACGGCGACCGGGATGCACCCTCTGTTGCAAAATTGCCATCTAATGGACTATGTCTTCGTCCAGAGGTGAGACCAGCGGGACGTGCTGGTGACAAACACGATCCTGGGTGCCGACGAATGGACCACCCATCGCCTCGTCATCTGCAAGATGGGGATCCACCTACAGCCACGCAGGAGATCTCACGGTAAGCAACCAGCAGGCAAGCTGAATACTTATTTGTTTAATGTGCCTGCGCACCATGTCTATTTCAGTAACGAACGGGCTCAGCGACTAGCTAACCTTCCAGTCGCCGTCACCGACGAGGACGCCTCCGTGGATAATCGGTGGTGCCAACTGAAGGACACATTCCGGGCAACCGCCCTGGATGTCCGCGGCCGTGCACGTCACCAACACTAGGACTGGTTTGACGCAAACGGCGCCGTCACCAGCTACCTACTCGCCGAGAAAAACCGGTTACACAAGGCCTACGTCAACTGCCCTATTAGCGAAAACAAAGCAACCTTTTACCGAAGTCGGCGACTTGAGCAACAGCGGCCGCGGGAGATGTAGGACACCCAGACGGGTAGCAAGGCCGAGGAGATCTAAGGGCACGCGGACCGCAAAGAATGGAAGAAATTCCTAGTGGCGATTGAGGCTGTTTACGATCCCATAGCCAGTGGAACATACTCCTCTTCTCTGCGTCGACGGAATTACACTACTCAGTGAGAAGGCGCAAAATATGAAGCGGTGGGTCGAGCACTTCAGAAGTGTCCTCAACCGCCCCTCCACCATCTCTGAGGCCGCCATCGACTGACTGTCGCACGTGGAGATCAACGCTGATTTTGATCTCCCGCCTTGTCTCCAAGAAGCCATCCGCGCCGTGCGACAACTGTCCAGCGGGAAAGCGCCGGGCTTCGATGTCGTTCCAGCTGAACTTTACAAGCACGGCGGACGCCGACCGACGGAACGATATATGGCTCTCTTTCAGGTGTGACGCTGTGGTCAAGTTGCTTAGAATTTCAAGGCCGTCAAAACCGTCCATCTGTACAAGAAAATGAGGCAACTGCCAACTCTGTGACAGCCACGGAGGAATCTCACTGCCCAGCATCGCCGAAAATATCTTCGCCTGCATCCTCTTCAGCCGTCTCAACGGAAATCTCGAGCAAGGAATTCTGTCGGAAAGCTAATGTGGCGTCCAGCGACACTGCGCAACCACCAATATGATCTTTGCTGCTTGCCAGCGACCAGAAAAGCGCCTGGAGATGCGGAATCACCTCTACACCGCATTCTGTGATCTGACGAAGACCTTCGTCGCGGAGAATCGTGAAGGACTGTGGAAAATAATGCAGAAGCTAGGCTATCGTGAACGATTCACGGGCATGGTATGTCAGCTCCACGTTGGGATGATGGCGTGCGTCACGGACAACGGCACAATCTCTTAGGCATTCGTGTGACCAGTGGGATGAAGCAGGGCTGCGTACATACGCCCATCTTCTTTAGCGTCTCGTTTTCTGCCATGCTGAGAGACGCCTACCGTGACGAGCGCCCCGAGATCCACATCGCCTACAGGACCGATGGGCACCTTCTCAACAACCGGCGAATGCAGGCCCCGGCACGTCTTTCTACAGCTATTATCCGCGACTTGCTCTTCGCCGGTGACTGCGCACTCAACACTACGACCGAAGACAACATGCAACGGAGCATGACTCTCTTCGCCTCCGGCTGCGCCCACCTCGGGCTGACTATCAATACGGACAAGACGGTGATCATCAACAGCCATTGATCACTGAATACAATGTCCCTCGCAACCACGTTAGCGGCACCGAAATAACGAGGCCCGTCCCTTAGAGGAGCTCAAGACGAATAAGTAGGCACGCAGTATCGTTGACCCAGACCAACTCCACAAACGCCCAACCTCTGTCCACCTATCCGCATTGCTAACTAACGTTCAGGGCAAGTGTCGGACTCAGCTGACATCTTTGAAACCATCGCCATGACAACCAAACCAACTCGTACACACACGATCACCACCGCCAAGTGAATCACCAAATTCATCCCCTCTTCCTCTCATCATTCCAATCGCAAGAAGAAAGCTGACGGACATGAAGGACTATCAGGCTCAGCCGCCACTACTAATCTGACCACTTCCCTCATCACTGCCAGTAATGGAGACACAGTTCATCCTGCCTCCACTGTGACCGCACATTTCAGTCAGTGATCGGTCGTTTGCGAATTCGCTGCAGCGTCGATGGATAACCAGGCCCTGGAGTCCCGCCATTTACGCCCTCCCCGCCCACACTGCACCGTCACATTCCGACACGGTGCGGACTCGCTCGGTAATACGCGCATACGCGGCTCAGAATTCCCTCCCCCTTCGCCCGAACATGGGCTTTGTGGCAGATGCGCTGACAACACAGAGGGCACACCGGTACGAATGTGTCCGGGCTACTTCGCGCCTACGCACATGTTTAACCAAAACTATATACGCGTGTGGCACACCTTGGATGGAGGCTGCCCCACCACGTAAGTCATCAATCCCATCCTCATCAGCGGTTGATTAACAGACATGGACGGTCTGTTGGCGAACTGGAGTCTGAAGAGAGTAAAGCCGATGCTAGGGATTCCATCACCGCGGCAGACCACAGCGTTCCTCAGTAGAATAAATCGGAGGCACCCCAATACGTCGTATGACGCGAATAGTCGTGATTTTGAATATCTGCAACTGACGTGTTAAGTCTGTTTCTGTCAGGGCTCGGAGCTACAGCTGCAGCAGCACCTACTTAAGATAACCCTCAAGGCGTCCGCATTTATGAGAGAGCAGAGACCCACAACCGTATCTTAGCACGTGCGGAGTGAAGGCCAGGCCGTGTGTGATGCGTGAAGCCGGGCTTTGTAGTTTTGTCCTTCGGTCATGTTAACATTCTCGCCATCAAAACACGATGGATGCAGGAGAGTGAGGTAGACGCAGCACCAGTGTGTTTCAGTGCAAACAACTACGTGCGCAAATCATATTCTCACTCCCCTCCTATCTCAGCCGTGGAAGGTATTACCTGCAATGACCGAAATGGCAGACATCATAGAGAACTCCCGGCCATTAGCATGACGAGTCAGCCGGGTTTTTAACTACGCCTAGAGGGTCGCTATCTGTGAGCCTCTTTGATCGTTTTCAAGTGCAACCGAACCCCGGGCCTAGACTACACTTTGCCCATTTTAAAGGAAGGTGATCGGTATGGTGCTATACGTTCAGCAGTGCACACCATGCGGTACATACTGGTCAGTGTCGTCAGGCATTAGCATTTTTTCTTTTTGGTCTGCTCTCCTTATGACATGCTCGCGTACCAAAGTAAAGTAAGCTCCAAAATAGTGCCCCCTACTCACAAAACCCTTTTATCCGCGAAAACGAGTGCAGTAGCGAAATACACAAGCGAATTTTTGCCGGGCGACTGGAAGGGAATCTCTTCCCACCAAAGTCAACTACTTAAGCTCTCGGTAATCCTTTCCTAAACCCAGTTTGATTGGTTTTGGTATCTTGTGGCAGTGGCGCCAACCAATATATTTTGACTGTGAGAATACTGGAGATCAATTGGCGTATAATTCAGCCTAGAGTTCTGCATTTTGTCTCAAAAAGTTGAGCACTGACAGCATAGACACTGGTATAGGCATTCTCACTTTAACGTCCATCTCTAGTCAGTTGTGTCCAAACCCACGTCCAGGAAGGTACACTAACAGGCTAAATCGACCAGCACCACGTTAAAACGCGATCTCTTGTATTCTCTAACACAGCGCATAAACGAGAGATTGCGGCCTCTTGTTTGAAGACTAACTGAGCCGAAGTTCAGACCCCGGTCCTTTTCGGTTCGAGGTGTGATGGTCCGCCAATGGAAGATACAGCAGAAATAGGTATCCCACTATCGCTCATCAATGTCGGCGATGACAGCTTTCGAAAGTTTGTTCGGAATAAATTTGAACAAGGTTATTTGAACAAAAATGCAGAATTTAATAACGACATAAGATTCCTTGACAAGAGGTAACGGTATTGCATGGCGTCATTAAAGTCCGCACTGTCTTCAACCTTTGTTCTATACCAGAATCCGTTTTCTCTGCCAAATGGCTCACTCAGGTATTATACTCACCCACACAAACCCCTAGAACGGGCGACGCAGAAGGGGCGCAGTGTCAGAACCGGGGTCGGATTGGTGCACAGCGCGCGTTGACCAGGTTGCGCAGAGTCCGCCATCCCGTAACAGGCGCCACACATGGCGGGGTCTGGCGGCACGCCTGGGCGCAGGCTTACATCGCACCAGCCACCTGCGCCCAATCCTCGCATCAGATGGCTGCCCGATCGTGACGGCGAAGCACCGCATGGTGGAGTGGCCAACATTACGTCATCCACAGCAATCTCACTTTAGCACCTTCCTCACTGTAATAAATTTTATGCGCCTAAATTGATTATGCAGCGCTAGGAGTCCTGGCTCAGAATGCCTCCAACTGACGCTTAATCCGTCCTTCTGAGAACCACGGGGTCTGGTTACAGTGGATTCTCTTGATTGTCGTCTCCATGGCATTCCCACTCAGATGAGGTCCCGGCCAACGTCTTGTTTTTTTGGTCCACTGTGCGCGGACCAGGCCGTGCACGGCACGCGCAGACGGGACGTCCAGTCCTGCCGGCCAACCACTACTTACGATCCTGCCTCCGCTTGTCCTCACTCAATCTTGCCACCGGACTCAGATGGACGAGTGAGTACGGCAGATGCAGCACAAGTCCGTTGTCACTATGGGCCAGGTTACGCACAAGCCGCCCATTTGCGTCAATCGCATTGTAGAACACACAGTGGACTTCGTCGTTCGCGACGGGCCAACCGACATACTGCCGCAGCGTGTACTTTGTGGCAGGCCAGACAGCCCATTTACTGACGACAGCCACTACGAAAATGTCAAACAGCCCTTCAATAATACACACGAATCCTTAATCCCTAACAAAGCCAAGGAAACTTAATGTCGAGGATGTTTGTTTCAGAGGACTCTAACTACGACGAGAGCAGAGTGGGGAGGTGCGTGCATAAGCTGGTGACCGTGACCTTGGCATCGATTGTGACAGAAGTCTAGGACGGCGAGGTTCAAAATACGTGATCAAAAGAGTCTAACCGATGCATAAAACAAAGGCATCCAAGCCACGCGACAACAAACATTAGGGCGACAGTAGCCCTCTTTCGTCGGTAGCGGAGAGACCGGATACGAGAAACCCATTCTGTTGACGGAGGAGAGGGAGGGCAGACGAGGTCTACTTAATACACTAACGACCGCAGCTCCCTCAACGACAAGTACCCACCCAGAGGGGACGGGCCATGCGTCAATCAGAAATTATGTATTGATACAATCGGTGGGTGAACTGAGAAGGCGGTCAACTGAAGTCAATTTTGGGCGTATGTATTAAAAAGCCGAAGGAACGCCAGCAGATGCAGATGATATAGACAAGGAAATTCAACTAGGCACCAGTCTGCTGAAATAAGATTGAAGATCACGAGAGAACGGGATAGACACACAACGCAGACACAGGGCACGGAGGGAGAAAGACAACAAGAGAGCAACTGTGCCTACAGCAGAATTTAAACAGTCTTAATAGAAGAAAAACCTGAGAATAAAATAGCCAGAAGGAGAGCGACCGAAAGTGCGAAAAACGAAGACATGGGTTGACAAAAACGTAGGGGTAGGAGGGTTGCCAACCGACTAGTGGCGCACAATGTGACCACGGGAAAAAGGCCCAGATCAAAATGCCATTGAATTTACCTCTCAGTTTCATCTCTGTAACAAGAACTACAGCTAGCCTGAGAGATACTAGTTCATGAAATCAGAGCAAAGAAACGGATAATGAGCAAATTGACACAGAAGCACTCATGAATCAGGAATGAAAGCAGAATCGTACACAAGGCAGGCGAAAACAACATTGTACAGCACAGAGCGACAAATGTAGGGATGGAAGTAACCAAATTGTCGGCCCACTGCGCGCCAATGGCAGCCCGAGGGAGTACACTGACTTTAACAGGCAACAGACGCAATCGTGGTAGCCGGAAATTGCGAATTGCAGTGGTCCGACTGACAGGAGACCGGATGATCATTCATTGGAGTTGGGCCATAAGCAGCGAACAGACGATGTCGGAAACTGCCGATTTCGTGCTGCGAACAGTCACACGTAAGGTCTACAAGGGGAGGGAAAATGGAGGCATAGGCTGAGTCTAGGAAACGTAATAAAATGTGCTCGGTTCGAACAATTTGTCTGAGACCGTCGAGCTAGTGAGTCTCAACGACTGTGTGGTTCAAGATTTTGCCCTAGGGAGCGATTAATGAGACGAAACTGATTTGACTCTTTTTAGGAGAATATGATTTAAAAAGATATATAATTTAATGCGAGGCTTACGCTGGGCTCTATCCTGGCGAGAACTCCGATTTGTTGCGCAGTTGTATGCACTATCCCAGCGCCCACAAAATTTGTTGGGCAAGGGTCGATACCAGGAAGGAGGCTCAACCCGGAGCCTAGAATCTAAAGTATTGAAGGTATAAAAACGAGACTGAGTGGTATCCACGTGCGCATGTGAACACAACACCTCTCGTGTTGCCAAAAATTGTAAAAAAAATAGATGTGCTGATGGAAAATATAATAAAATATAGGGCCTCCGAGCGAATTAAACTGCCTGGTTGCGCAAAAATGTCCGTTACCTAACCGTAATAGAAAAAAAGTAGACAAAGGTGTCTTGCTTGTCGCGTATTCCGAAAAAGTCGTGACCAGTTGCTTTTTGGCGACACTGCTTGAAACGAGGGCGCATGAGTATGGCACCTTCAATATCATACAGGTCGTTCATGGATGGTGTCTGGCAAAAAACGTCCAAACCATGAGTCAGTCCTGCAGGTCAATGCCGCGGGTGAACAGCACAGGCAACGCCAGCAGATAAGGCGAGACTACAGGAAGATAGTTGCATGGCAATCTGATTGGCGCCTAAGAACAAGGTATTTCCGTCCTTTGTTGGTAGGGGCTGCGAATAGATAACCACTGAGTGGACTGAAAATGAACCAAGCAGCAATGTTCATGACGGACTTGGGCAACAGCTGTTCCAGGTGCATTCCTATACTCTACAGTCAGGGCCACCTCTGTTACCATACCCATAAACAAGACTGCCGTTTTGGTTTCCATCGAGCTTGTCAGTCTACCAATGGGAAACCTGGCGGGTCACTGAAATGTGGAGGATCAGGTGATTGAATTCCTAGGGAAGTGAAAGAGTGATGGAGACGCTGGGAAGGATGGAAAACAGCTACCGCCAGAGTACTTTCGGTATCGGGCTACTGAAGATCACCTCGAGAAGTGAGGACATGTACTTCACACCTAGATTTAGTTGTAAGCACTGCATGAGATGAGCAGGTCTGCACCATCAGAAGACACTGAGAATAATAAGGTGGACGCGACTGGTTTGCAAGCTACATGCCCACATAGGAAGGATCTTTCCTGAACTAAGACAGTTTCGAGTAAGTCAAATGGTGATGCATTTGGTGCAATTAACAAAGGGACAGTACATTCAGAGCAGATGAGGCCCGCTGCCAGTTAAAAAGGTGAGACGGAAAATTACTGGTTCAGACAGTAACCGGCCAGCAAAGTGTCGCGAAAGTCATAGACGCGGTGATTAAGGCGAGGAATGGTCAGGGCACGCATTGCGAGAAATCCAAATGCAACGGTCGTCTTGCCAGAATTCAACAGAGATCAGGAACACGTCGGGCGTTATGATAATTATGTGTAACGGTCACGAAGAATGGAAAGCAACTATGACGCAGAACCAAAGACGAAAGAAAGCTTGGGTGTGAGAATCCAAGAATCAGTCGGCCTCTTTCCAAATTCACACGTTCACCCGGTTCTGGCAAAAATGGGCACTGAAGTATAATTTGTTTTCATCTGAATTCCTTCTGCACCGCGGAATCCTTATAGGTACGAGGGACTCGGAAAGTACACCCTCAACCCGTCGCCGGAATTAGGGGGACAAAGGTTAGAGCGCGATTTCTAACAGCAGAGATGACACGTTCAGTCGACAGACCTGCATAGATCACGGGTCAGGCTGATCGGTCAGTTGAGGGAGCTTCCTGGTGCAAGGCATGCTCCGCAGCGCAATCGGTGAGAGCGACGAATCGGGGAGAAAACAAGAGTAGCGGTCTAGGCGCCTACGTGTAACTCGATTTCCGCTGACGGACCCCAATATGCGTCTTAATTGTTTATGTACTTCTGATAGTCGAGTCAACATTTGAACTGGGACATATGCGACGAGCCAATGTGGCCCGATTAATTGAAACCTATAGGACGGCGGGTTACTGGCTGGCAAGGTTGCTGGCTACCCGACGCGGCCACAGGTGGCGAAGAGGTGAGTGACTGTCAGTGAAGGTCAGCTGCAAAATAAACAGGCTCTCAGGTCTGGCGAATAAGCAGTCGCGGACCACCAGCTACAATGCTAACAGAGTAAAGACGTTTGAGGTCTGGCACACCGGCTGTCTTACAAATGTGACACGGCGACCGTAAGCTGCCATTTAACAAGTTTATTCGTCATTATTGTTTTGTGGTTAGTCTCGCGCCGAAGCAGTGGAGGAGATAACCTCGAACAAACAATCTGAGCGGCTGTTTTGGATCCACTAATAATCAAAATGCATAAGAAACCTCATGAAAATCTCAGACTACGGTATTACGGCATTCACGGGGACCGACGCGCTCTGCAACGCTGGTTTAGTCGTGCAGCCGAATAGTATGCGAGCTGGACTACTAAATCGGGGACGAACTCTGCATATTGATAATGGAATGCGCGAACTTCAACGGAACCTGACACCCAAAGTCTGGCGTCAACATAAAGCGGATGTATACAGCTCGTCTCACGTTCAGAAAATAAAGATCCCGGGAGCCAAATCCGCTTAACCCTGTACCACGACGACCCACGCAACTTTTCTTGCAGACACGATGTGGCAATCGCCCTCCTACAGAAAGCAAACAGTACCCTACTTGCATGAGAACCAGTCAGTAACCAGATGACTAACTCACGGCCGAAGGATCACTTTACGAAGATCCCTGAAGTCTCCGTGTACGTACCAACATCAGTTGTCGACCAGCGCGAAAGAGAAATTTTCTACTTGTGACTGCAAGAGTTGGTTTAAAGGCTTCCTCGTCGTGAGAGGCTGATTCTTGCTGGGGTCTGGAATGGCCGGATGAGACCTAATGACTCTTCAGTCACCTAAGTGGTGACTTTGGGCTTGGCTCTCGATACGGCAATCGTGAGAGAATGCAGGACTCTACGAATCATAATTGGCCGTTTGTCACCAATACGTGCTTCTAGCATGGCCATAAATATCTGCCAACTTCATATTTAAACGACGTCCATACGGCCAGTCAGATCGACCACATCCTACTTGGTTTAAGGTTCCGCAGCTAGGTCCACAATAGGAAATTCATGCCTGGTGCCCAGACTAGTAACGCTTATGGGCCGGACTATGTCCTCGTTCTTACACACCTGGAAGTGCACCTCTCAGCTGCACCCAAAACATCACGAAGAAGACGCCTCAATGTCGCAAAACTTCGACAACTCGGCACCATCGAGGCCCATAGCACACAAATCCAGTCTCGTTTTACGACTTAAGCCGATGGAGATGGAAGTAGTCAGTGACCATCACCAAAGTCATCAATCTACGGGGCACCTCAGGAAACGTTTAGGTTGACCCATCAGCGCCACAGTGATTGGATCGGTGGAAGAGAGTTGCAGTTGTCTGCCCAGACGGCGTGAGTCAGGCACTGCAACGATGATTCCTTCTGTCAACTCTGAAAAATGAACACAAAGTCACCAAGAGGCGACCGCAAGAATGATTGATTTGAAAATGGTGACCTCAACGGAACAGGTCCGAGACGTTGATTACACTCAAAAACTACCAAAGTATCCGCCAAGTTAGCGGTAGGATCCACACACTGAGTGACTTTTTTACGATGTGAATGGCGGCATTGCTGTCGGCAACTCCGACAAGGTTGAACGATGACCGGATCAATTCCAGCGCCTTCTCAACTTCCACGACCAACTTGACATGTTATCGACCTCCAATCTCCAGCCCCTGCAGCGTAATGTGACTCTTCCCCCAGGGGGAGAAAACTGTATGTGTACTCCTGGAGTCAAATACCCACTGACTTGTTGATGTAAAAAAGAATTTATACATTTAAACAAACATTTTCATGAGGACCTAGTGACCTAAGAATAAAAATATAAAGCGGAAATGTTGTGCCCCACTTTTGGGAAATATTAATTGTGGTTATGTAATCAACACAGGCGGATGAAGGCTCCCAGCAAGAGGCTTAAAAATTTCAGGACCAGCTGGATGGTAAACAAGTGAAGAGGTGCGGTAAGTACTCACCCTCTGCTTAGCTTCTTCTGGATCAACCGACATTTGGCCGGGAGCAGCGCGCTGAGATTCTTGATCAGGCCTACAGAAAAAGGGAACATGCATCATTTTTCGTGCGAGGGCGCAAAAGGTAGAAAAGTAGGTGGTCTTGTATGTGGGTTACAAAAAACGGGCTGTGCTGCTGCGATTGAGTTATGTGGCAATGAAACAGGTATGGCATGCGTTAAATCACATCATATGCCTTGCCCTGTTTCATAATCGAAGTCGGTTGTACTCAGACATGGCAGTGGGGCGGCGCGGCGGGAGAGGGAAGGGCAGGGGTGAACTCGAGGCCACTTTACGAACCGTCAAAAATCCGTCGCACTCTTAGCCCTCGACGGCCGTCAGATGGAAAGATAAACCGGCACTTCTCTGGACTGGAAAAGCTGCTGTGAGCCTTTACCACAAGTCTTGTCGCTGTCGACCGTCAAAACGGCGCCAAACACCACTCAAAGTCTAACTGTTCCAAGGCCAAGCACCTTCCCAGCCTGATCGACTTCGTTCACTGACTGTAACATCCGCCCAGTTAATGTGACGTGGGTCTCAAACGCCACAAGATATGCTAAGACATGAAGCCCTTGACTTAACCCACCAACCGATAAAAGTAGCCGACAGCATTCTCTCTATCGGATATAATCCAACACTGCCAACACATAAGCTGGTATCGCCAGCAGCTACTGCCGCCTGAGACGGCAACTCGAATTTCTAAACAGAAGAACTTTCCATTCTAGTGTCGTCCGCCTTCTCCTGCTATCGACAACCCGGTCTGGTTGTTGTTGTGATTAAAATACACCAATCAGCTAGCCGCTGCAAGTTTCCGATGAGAGAACATAGAGCTTTCTTAGGAAACACCGTTTGTGTGCGTGTAGTGACCAAAAAGCGAGTGACACGCGATGAGGGAGGCCTTTACCACAGCAGTCACTGTTTTCAATCTGATCCGCGGTCAGTTTGATTGGAACATACACCGGTGGTAATACGGTCCTCTTTTCAGGACGAAGAGTCAGGCTGCAATGGCTCCTTCTTAATTTGGCCTTTAGGGCACTCTCACTCAGTTGGGATCAGAGTCAACTCTCTCGTGTGAAATACTGGTCCTTTGTGCACGGACCAGGAAGTGTAGTGGCACGCCTAGATGTGGGTTCACGCCCCGCAGGCCACTTGCACTCGATCCCGCCACCAGTCTTCTTGAATCTGTTTTGACACCGGGTCCAGGTGGGGAGGAGGAAGAAGTGCGGTCGATGAGAAGCATACCTATTATCACCGTAAACTAATTCACGCGTAAGCCACCGTCCCTGCGCCCTCCACGCTGTGGAGCACACGGTGGACATCGTCGGAAATGACGGTCAAACTGTCACATGACGGGAGGGAGTGAAGCCGACCCAACGTAGACACAGCACATGATATCCGAACTACAAAAATGTAATGCGCATTAAACTATCATGAGTTGAAAGTCAAGGCTTGGAAGACGGAAATCTGACAGGATGGTTAAGTTGTACTCAGGACTGAGGATAAGGTTGCAGTGGGTGCTTAATAATGTGGCCTTTCAATCAACTCGCGTCAATGGGATATCCAAGACCGATATTCTAAAGGCCGGTACGTATGGCACTCACACACCTTAGTTCAGCTCTGTCAGCTAATGCTTTCAAGTTCAGCTCCAATTGTCATGACTTAGCCCTGCCATTGAGATACGGTGGGCGTACGAAGGCGGAGTTTATAAAATGTTGCACGAGCCAACCTCAATACTAAGAACTTCACGAACAAGTCACCACTGGTCATCTGGGGGACAGTGGTGGTCCCCCTGTCTCCCCCCGCCCCAAAGGACGAGACTGTGGTATTAGAAGGGAGTCAAAAGTACTAGAGTAATTATACGTACTGGCAAAGCAGTTTCCAGCGCGAAAAGAAGGTAGACTGATCCATCGTAGCAGGCTGCATGAACTTCACCAGAAGGATTGGCAGGGGAACAGAGAAGTTAACTGGCCCGGAGAGATGTCTAGAGGCAATAAGAACAGCCAGTTATGTTGACTACGCAGCTACATGAGCTGGATCATGGAGGAAAAGGCTAGTACAACGAAGGTAAAATTTTATAAATTATTTAAAGGCGAAAACAGTTCGACGTCCAGGACAGGTGAAAATAAGTATGTTAAAAAGAGTACGTTCACTTCAAATACGGCAGCCTAATCTACTGGTCGCCAACGGACAGTAGGCAGAGGTAAGAGCACGAATCGAAAATGTGATGGGAATAAACAAATTGGTTAAACAGATGAGCCATGAGTCTCGGAGTGGTCATTCAGTGGCTAAAATTACGTCGGGGAGAATGAACGAAAAGTGCAGATTTAATCGCACGAACACCAGGTGGCCGTAGGGTGACTCGGAACAAAACTCTTAACCCAAAACACAAAGTGTGGAAGTTAGTTACAGTTTCGATTTCTGGGGAAGGATTATTGTGAATGAAGGCAGCCGGATGACTGAATGGTCTATAATGTCGGCATGGTCAACTGAATCAGCTAGAACATCGATCTCCGTCCAGCCACGCACTAATGCCACCGAAGCAGGCACAGGATGGACGGGACAAGTCTAATAAGAATGACAGGGAGGTCGGCCAGTGGCGACCTAAAAGCCACCCCACCAGAAGAGGAAGCCGACGAATAATCGGCACAAACGGCCAAGCACAAGCTCAACCACCCTCCTCCAAAATGACGAGCAACCACGGCGACAAGCCGATACCAGCGCTACCAAACCCTTCAGATGGCGACAAACAGGCAAGGCGGCGAAAATGGGAAAAATAATCAGAGCGGGGTCAAACACCTCGGAAAAACAGTCAAACGTCCATTCCATTTCGCTACTCAGTTCAGACTATGACAAAGAATGGCAAATCGAACTGTTGGAACAGTGAGTTACGTAACGTATTTGTTAAAGGGAGTGCTTTTTCCCTCCAAGGCTACAAAATGCAACGGCATCCAGACAGTGGTAACTACCTAAAATGGGTTCGATCTCCGCAATTGACGACATTCGTCTTCATGAGACTGACATTAGTTGGGTGGTAAGAGGAGGTCTCTGACGGATCCTGTCAAGCGAGACGCGGAGACGCTTGAGCAGATTTTCACCAACTATGAGTTCGAATTGACGGCAGGAGAACGAAATGGTGTTTGTTGTAAGTATATTTAGTGGGTAGGAAACATTAACTGTTATTGAGAAGCCTAACTGGATGGTGAGTAGGTGAAAGTGTGAAGTGGAATACTGTTAAGTGATGGGACTGGTAGCCGAGTGGCGGATGCAGGCTGAGGTCTCGCAGCTGTGTCGAACTCTCCATCGACAGGATTCCCCAGCGGTTAGTCAGCGTTTGCGATGTTACCCATTATAGAATCGACACTGCTGCTGATGATCGTAGTTGTAGTAGCAGCAGCTCTCCAACGGGAAAGCGCCCAGATCGGACGTGACTGCTGTTCAGATCTGCAAGCACGGTAGCGCACAACCCATGGATAATCTGACAGCGCTTTTTCAGGAGATGTGGGGTCAAGGAGAAGTGCCGCAGGAGATCAACGACGCCGCAATCGTCGATCTCTACAAGCGGAAAGGCAATCGCCAGCTCTGCGACAACCATCGAGGCATCTCCTTGCTGAACATCGTCGGGAAAATCATGACCCGCATTCTCCTTTACCGCCTGAATCACCATCTGGGACCAGGTATCCTGCTGGAAAGCCAGTGCGGCTTCCGTCGTCATCGTGGGACCACCACCCGTCAACTGCAGGAGAAGTGTCAGAAGATGCGGACCCACCTCTACCCAATCTTCGTGTATCTGACGAAAGCCTTTGACACGATGAATCGAGAAGGGATGTGGAGAATCATGAAGAAATTCGGCTGTTCCGAGAAATTCATTCAAATGGTGCGTCAGCTCCACGATGGCATGATGGCGCGAGACACAGAAAATGGAGCTGTCGCAGGGAGCAGAGAAGTGAAGCAGAGCTGCGTCCTCGGGCCTACCCTCTTCAGTCTCATGTTCTCTGCTATGCTGATGGACGCCCACCCTGACGGAAGGCCCGGGATCCATGTCACCTACAGGACGGACGGCCACCTCCTCAACCCCCGGTGGATGCACTTCCAGTCGCGCGTACCCACAACCGCCATCCATGAACTTCTGTTCGCTGATGACTGCGCCCTCAACGCCAACTCGAAAGTGGACATGCAAAGGAGCATGGATCTCTTCGCCGTCGTTAATCTGTTTATTATAGGCAAAAACATTTTGGATAGATTAATCAGATGTTCTAATTAACCGGACTTACTATGGAGAAAACTGGACTATAGGTTTTCCCTAACGTCTTGGTCTTCCTCTTGATGTTTCCACTTTGAAGATGCTCCCTGAGAGCCTTCGAACAAGACCTATCTCTTTCGCAGTCTTTTTGCCGTCGTACAACACGCACGATTGCAGACTTTCTCGCGTTGGATCTCTCGGTCAGTCAACGATGCTTAGTGCTGAGTTAATTATATCTCATCTAGTCTAATGGAGTAACTGTGTGCTTTGGCATCGTGGTTAGTTGAGAGTGGGCGCCGTCGATACACGACCAGACCAACCGACGTTAGCCTGGACAAATTAGTGAGCACCAAAATGCCGATAGGCGCCGAAGTTGCTGCTTTCGCCCACCTAACCAGCGGCGTGCAGCCCTCAGTCAGCAGCAGCATCGCGAAGGAGCGCTCGCTTGGCGACGTTACGCAGACTGGAAGTCTACGTGGGCCACTTGACTGAGCTTCTGGACGGTCGGCAGTCTCCCTGTGAGTCCAAAACGCAGATTATTCCCTCCAGTCTTGTCTCCCTGCTTTTAGATCGAAGAAGATCGCTAATTCATGCACGTAGGACGATGGTTCTTGCCGACGTACTAATATATAGAAGACCTATTTCTGTTTTCAGAATTTTGCCCGAATAAACGACTGCCCGAGTTAATCAGTAGCCCGATTAGTCGGAGTCCACAGTACTTATATAACGTGATTTGGGTTGGATGTGTTTTATGCACCTCAATCACCTTTACTCCCTGCTCGCCAAGATTCTGACGTCAGCCACTTCTCTCGCAGAAAATTGTGTTGACATATGCTGAGGCTACGTTTAAAGCAAAGGATTTCGGAAATTGAGCAGCCAGTTGACGAGGGTTAATAGTATAAAAAGCATTTTAAAAAGAGTGATAATGCAAAGCATGCTTTAGCGGGTTAGGCTACGCTACAGCACACACGACAATAGGTATTCTTTGGTGCAGCCGTGAGGAAGCGATGAATATCTACTTGAAAACGAGAGCACATACCACCTATCTATGAGGAGAAGTGCGTCATTGGAAGATTCTAGGAGGTTAAATATCGCCGATTTCAGGTTGGAGGCGAAAATAATTCGTCCATTACAAACAAAGAGGATTATCACTGCCCCAAGATCCGAGTGGTGACTTGGGCTGTGATGAGGCAGACTCGCGAAGCATTCAAGCCGGGTTCTCGTCCTACGCGACGAACGTGGAGGATGGCCGCCACACAACGTATGACACGCAAAAGTGATAAGACATCAAACGCAACCAGATCTGACCGGACGACAAGTGACGAATATTTTACCAAGGAAATCAGTAAAGAGTGGGGTCAGCACAATAATCAGTATTGCCAGCCCACTTAAATAATATTCGCCATTCTGCGGTATAAAGATTATAACGGATGATTCGCGAGTGCAGAATGGCCACTGAATAGAGTACAGAGTTGGTTTATATTATTAAGCATGTGATGAGCCTAATTAATAAAATAGCTAGCTTGAGAACTGTTTTGAGCAAAGGATCTTCTGAGGGATGAAAGGCGGCTACAGACACTTGGCGGACAACTCAATATTATGAGTCCGTCAAAAGACCCTAGAGGGTGTATGACGAATAATTCGAGAATAGAAAATAGGCCGACTACGCGAGACAGTTTTGTAGAAAAACTTCATGCCCGATAAACATGACCCAAATTCGCGTCATTTCGTTCGAGGAAAGTCAGAATGAGTTAGATCGCTTCATAAATGAGTAAAAAGTTAAAAGCCAAGGACGGCGGCGGACCAGAGCCTCATCGATGACCAACTCTAAAAT